GCAGAATGCAGTGACGGCTTTTGTCAGATCTTTGAGTTTCTGCACCCTTTCCAGTGAACACGTATTAAGCAGCAGATTTTGTGTTACTTGAATAACATGGTGCTTTCAATGACAGTGGCCATAGCTTTGTAGAGATTCAACAATTCTGATGTGAGATTTTATTGCTTATGGTGCAGAATGCGAGTGACAGCTTTTTGTCAGATCTTTGAGTTTCTGCACCCTTTCCAGTGAACACATATTAAGCAGCAGATTTTGTGTTCCTTGAATGACATGGTGCTTTCAGTGACTGTGATGTGAGTTTTTATGCTTATGGTGCAGAATGCGAGTGACGGCTTTTAGTCAGATCTTTGAGTTTCTGCACCCTTTCCAGTGAACACGTATTAAGCAGCAGATTTTGTGTTACTTGAATAACATGGTGCTTTCAATAACAGTGGCCATAGCTTTCTAGAATTTTAACAATTATGATGTGAGATTTTATTGTTTATGGTGCAGAATGCGAGTGACGGCTTTTTGTCAGATCTTTGAGTTTCTGCACCCTTTTCAGTGAACACATATTAAGCAGCAGATTTTGTGTTACTTGAATAACATGGTGCTTTCAATGACTGTGGCCATAGCTTTGTAGAGATTCAACAATTCTGATGTGAGATTTTATTGCTTATGGTGCAGAATGCGAATGACAGCTTTTAGTCAGATCTTTGAGTTTCTGCACCTTTTCCAGTCAACACATATTAAGCAGCAAATTTTGTATCACTTGAATGACTAATTGCACACAAATGGTGCTTTCAATGACAGTAGCCGTAGCTTTCTAGAGTTTTGACAATTATGATGTGAGGTTTTATTTTTTCTTTGACACAGGGTTATGCAGCAGGCGATGGAGTGTCCACCGATATCAGGCGAAAAGACTTTTTTCAGTTTTCTTTCAGGAATTCACAGTTACTGCTTTGGTACTGAGATGAACTTTCAGCGACATTGTGTGACGAAAAGAGAATAAAAAAAGCAATTCATGATAACACCAGTTAAACTTTTTGTTAGTAGTATTATTCATTAGTTTCAAACGATGCTAATAATTATATGTATGTAAAAGAAGAAATCATCTTGCCACTTTTTACTCAGCTATACTGTAAAGCGTCAAATGAAAGGCCTGGGTGTGTTCTGGATTTTTCTTATGAGCTTTGCAACAATTGTTACTACAGTTGAACATTCCTGTTGATGGGAGCCATCACAACTTGTTTTTGTCCCTCTACATCCACTTCAGCTGAGGCGAATCTTGAAAATATCCTTTGGACTGGCATAAACGCCGAGGGTCCTCCTGGATAGAATTTGTTTTTTAGACGCTGATTGGGTTGCCATATAGAGTAGTCAGGTTTCCACACGCGAGCGAGCGAGTGCACGTGGTTTGTCTTGACTCAAAAGGTCAACTTAATGTCACTTGAAATTATTAAGTTTCAAGAATCACAAAGATGTTTTGTTAAGCTTTAATTAAGTAATTAAAGACTCTGAAATACAAGCGTTCTTTCTGCGTTACTTTTACGAATGTTTAAGTTCAAATTAAAGATGAGTAAAGATCTAAGATCATTTAAATTTGCTTTAATTTGAAATTAAGGGTGCTACATTTTAATAGCTAATTTTGGAATAAATTAAAGACAATTAAAACGAGACCTAAAGGTTATTAGTCTTTAATGTAACCAAAAGGTCAATTAAAGGTAAACTAAAGGGACAGAAAACCTTTCGGAAATTTAATGTCACAATTAAAGGTAATTAAAGATGGAACAGAACTTTTGGTGAGCTTTAATTTTTCACTAAAGACACCAAAATGAAAGCGTTCTTCCTGTGTGCCATCTCGACAGTTTGTTGAAATGTGAAACGCGCATTTCAATATGTTACTCATTACGGCTCAGCCAATCAGGAATTTGCGGACGCCAGCGTCCGCAGATATGAACAAAAGGGGGTTCTTAGAGCAGGCGTCCCCTTTCCCCTCTCCCCAATCCCCCTCCCCTTTTTCCCTTCCTCCCTATCCCCTACACCTACCCCTTTCGACGCCTTTTTGTGGAATGCGCAGTATTATAATTAAGGACGATGTCCTCTCCATGACCCACGCGAGCCCACCCATATTATCATCTATCCCTACTCCCTGACCTCAAACCCTCTCACTCTTTCATCCGTATTTGATTAATATTAGTTAGCCCTTAATTATTAACCGAGCGGGAGGTCTGTATGGGAGAATCTTGACCGACGTCGCCAGTACAGACCGAACGCAGTGAGGTCTGTACCAGCGACCGAGGTCAAGATTAATAAGGTCGGTTAATAAGATGTTTATTATACGGCCAAACAAGAAAGCAAAGGAGCAAATACATAGAGGGTTTTATTTGCTTCCCTGGGCGGGCTCAATCATTTAGCTGGGTTTCTTCTGTCACAGGTCTCCAGTCCAAACGGGACAAAAATAACTGTTCAAAGTCCAGCTTTGTACAAACTTCCGTTCGTCAATGAATGAAAACAAAATTTTTCATACAGGCTCATTGAAAAAGCTTGTGGTTGAAACAACAATTTATGAAAAGTGACCAAAAGCACAACTGCTATGTAAGTTATGCCTGTTTATGCCTCATATATATCGCTCAGCGATCAGTTCTCATTCAGCCTTGCGATCTTTGACTGATCACCACAGAAAACGTTGATGTTGAATGTGCAGCCTTCGAACTTGTCAATATGCGCTCCGGCCGGCCTGAGGCTGGATTTGTTGGACTGTGAAGACATTTTGCTGTGTTGCAGTGGAGGTACTGACTTGGGTTTGTTCGGACTGAGCGGATGTACCTGGCTCGCGATTCGGGATAGTAGACATTTCTCGCTGTCGCCTCAGAGATGCTGAATGGTAGCTGTCGAGCCGCTTTTCAAATTTTTGTGGCCTCTTAGCTGTGCAACGAAGTTTGGCTGAACGTCTGCTTCCAGAAGTCGTGCAAATAGCGTTGAAAACTTCGCTTCAAGCCGCTTAAAGTACCCGGCTCGTACTGCCATTTTGTGTACGACCGGAAATGGAAAATTTAAACAAGAGAAGGTCAGGTCATTGGCAGGCATGTTTTTCAATTGCTCTAGACTCTTTCAGTGACTCACAAAATTTCTTCAATGCGTTTAAATCGCTCTTTAAGTCTTGTATTGAGTGTTTTTTATTTCTGCGCCTGCAAAAATTTCTCAATTTGGACTTTATCTTTTCTCGTAGCTTCCTCGGCAGGACGCAAATTTGCTAAAGTTTGCTCGTTTTCTTTACCTGCTTCCCCGTGAATGTCCTCTAATTCTTCGATTTAGTATTATTAACAGGAAAAAGCCATTTTTTCATATTCTTTGTTTGTAACTTTTTGAGGACAACTGTTACAACAAGATCGGTCTAGATGCTGGTCTAGATGGGAAAATCTAGACCGTGGTCAATATCGATTTTAGCCAATCAAATTCTTGAATTTGTTTGTTTCCAGTCCTTTTGAGGCATGGCCATATACACCTTTTGCTGTTCGTTACGAGAAAATACGCATTCATTTGCGTGAAACGGCGACCAACAGGTCGAAGATACATTCATTAGCGGGAAAAAGCGAACATTTGCGCATAAACCAGATTCAATAACGATTTTTGCATTTTAATCAACATTCAATAAAATTTTCGGCATTCATTTGCGTCATCCGGCATACAAAAGAGAAAAATATACTTTCATTAACGCCAACATTCGAGTCACTAACATTATTATTGAAAATCATTAGGGACAATAGACAAACATTTAAGTGCAAACGCTATTCATTAACATTTCTATGACACCGTTTGCAATTCAATAGCACTCCTGGACAGCTTTAGAATGGATAAGACGAACATTCATGCGCTTGGAAAATCAATTGAGCGTTCTTTGCATTTAAAAAAATCTGTTTTCAATTAAACAATACCAATTCCCCTCCAAAATTGGCCTGAATTTGTTTAAAGAATCACGCCGTACTTCGCCACTGTGTGTTCGTCGACGGCTGCGGCTATACATTTACCCTACTCGGCCAGAAGTCATGGTGGGGCGCGACAGGGAGTGGAGGGCGTACCGCCAACTGTGGGGCAAACGAGGACGAAACTTGACTATGACCATGGCACTATCACCTATCAAATGTTTTCCTCGGCAGCTGCTGGAGTAATGAATACTGTGTCGGTTTTTCGGTGACTTTCTGGCACGGGCGAGGAAAAAATGGATCCCGATAAGTCGGTGGTCTTTGGGTATGACGGGGTGCCACTAGCCCACCTAGATTTAGCCATTCCCGCCCCATACGTTCACTACTTACCCTTCCCAACTCGACATCGTTGAAAAGGATTTAAGTTGTCTGAAAGCGACACCAACCGACATCTCGAGTCCGGAAATTTAAAGATGTATAAAAAGAATGAGAGGGCAAAGCCCTAGCAATCCCACTAGCGGATTTCGGAAACAACAACTGCAGTGCTTACATAATAAACTCTCATATATACGAGTCGAAAAGCAATAAAACATTGGCGTTAAAAGTCAGGCTTACGCTTCCCTCCGTAAATCTATTTAGAGAATCTTTCATGCAATATAATCATTAAACACGGTACACAAACTCAGTATTGTTGGCCAAATTTGTTTTCTAATTTAAATAACTTTACACAAAGTAATTATATGTTACGATAGCTGGTACTGTTTGTAAAATATTTTTGTCCTTTTCTCACGGCTTCAGTGTGAGATTCTCCTTCCAACAGAAGTTTTTTTCTGTATGTGGGTGATTAAGTCCGTGTAATATTATGAATCGCGCGTAAATAAATCAGAAAGATTCTTTTAGTTGTTGTTGCAGCTGCTGCTGTTGGTGTTGTACAGAAACGAACCACTGTTTATTAGATTGCTCCATTTAACTTAATTAAGTCACCGAGTCCCTGATTATAATTTTTGGTGTTTACTCCGTGATGAATGAGTTGTAAATTTCCTTTGTCTTTTTTTTCGTTTTCAGGGTCCTTTAACTCGTTCATCTTTTTTCTTT